CGCGCGGGCCGCCGCCTGGCCTCTCCCCACCAGCTCGCTGGCCTGCGCGGCCCCCGGGGCGCCCGGCCCCCACGCCCAACCGCGGCCCACGCCCGATCCCGCTCGCACCGCGCTGCGCCGCCACATCCTGCAGCTGGCTGCTGCCCGAGCTTGGCGGGAACGCGCCTCCTCTCAGCCGCCCCGCCGCGCCCGCCGCCGGCTGCCCCCGCGTCCCCGCGCCCGCCCCGGCCCTTTCCGCACCCGGCCCGCGCTTACCTGCAGCTTGGCACAGCTACACGCTCGCCGTGGGCTCCCGCGTTCGGCAGCGCGCAAGCCAGGACGGGATGGACGCGGGGGCACGGTGGGTGGTAGTGTTTTGGATTTTTTTTTTTTTTAGTTTGGGGAGGGGGTGGGGTGGGGGGAAATCGTGCACGTCCCTGGTGGTAGCAGCCCTCCTCTTGCACGAGCACAGAATAGCCAGTCTGCCGCGAACACCCCCACCACCCCCCTCCCCGTGCATGCGCGGTGCGTGCTCCGGGGGGAGAAGGCGCGCCGCCGCTTGCGCAGGCACGGAACTGGATTGGGCCTCTTAAGTGAGCGAGCAGGGAAAGGGTTAATCTGGGACCTTACGGGTCGACGCTTTCCTTGGGTCTACGGGGCCGCCCGCGGAGGGCCCTGGCCTGCGCACGCGCGCGCACGCGCGCGGTAAGGGGCGCGCGGAGCCCGCGCGCGGGAGAAGGGATGGGCGGGGTTAGGGCGGGGCTTCGGCCGCAGGGGAGCGAATGCTCGAGCTCAGTTCTCGAGCACCCGCCCCTCCTGGAGCTCCCGACTCCAGGGCTCCCGCCGGCGCCCAGCTTCGGCACTGCATCGGGAACGCGGGAGCCTGCGCTCCCGTGCGTGTGCATGTGTCTGGGCCATTTCTGCCCCTGGGCGCGCACGGTACGGGCGCTGAGCTCGTTCCGGCTTTTAGACTGGTGCCCGGGGCAGCGTCTCCCACAGTACTCTCGCCCGGATACCCAGGCAGGATTCCTGGGTCCCCATGGCCTGGTTCGTGCCACTGAGGTATTGTTTATGGGGAGCAGGCATTTGCAGAACAAATGAAATGCCATCTTTGATTTGGAGTATAAGGAGAAATTCCAGTCACCCGGGACAAACTGCTCAACCCCAAAGCTCTGGATCTGCCAGACTAATTGGTGCCTTTGCGTTTACCTAGGTGCATCCCTCTCTAGCCGTCATGTTCCAGAACTAGGTTGCACTTGATACTCCCATGGAGAGATCTGATAGCCTGGTAATGTCAGCACATCCATGTAAGTTATAGCTCCGCTGCTGTTGAAACCTGTGTTCTCTGTGCGGCACTTCCTGATCCTCTTAACCTGCCCTCAGGCACACAACCTGGGAAGTCCCTTTAGCTCCCACATTTTCTGTTCAACCTGCAATACTGGCAGCTGGATTGAGCTTTCGTGCTCCTGAGTGTTGCTTCTGCTGCTTTGTCACACTTCTAACAGTCTTGTGTCAAATCATGTGAATAACATCTGAAATTAGGGCAGGACGGTGGACTTATGGGAAGATGTAAAAGAATGCCTATACCAGGCGCATAAGTAAACATGAAGGGATACTATGATCGCCTCAATTTTCTTGTCTTTTGTTTTTTGAATTGTTCAATGTATTTATTATCTATAGTTAATGCAGTAAGGGGGGGTCAAAAAGCTGGCAGGCTACACAATTTCACAAGAAGCATTGTAGGGAAAGAGAAGGGTTGAGATTTATCAACTGTATCTTAGGGTCTTGGTGGATGCATTCCTGGGGGAGGTGGGCCTCTAATTCCTGGTGTAGGGGGGTCTCATTCCTGGAGGGGGCATGCCTATAGGTGTCCCTCGGGCAGGGGGAAGGCCAATTGGTTGGCCCATGGGGTGATCTCATACCAGGTGGAGGAGCCATAATGCCTGGAGGTGAAGTTGCTCTGCCTACAGGTGAAGTGGAGTTCCCCCATCTTGGTGGGTACTGGGTTGGGGCTCCTGCAATGCTAGCAGTAGCAGCAACAGCAGCAGCTACAACAGTGCCTCTTCCCTGTGGGGTCATGACCTGCTGGGATGGGCCTCCAACTCCTCAGACAGAGCCTGCTAATCCAGCAGGTCCTTGGGGAATAGGTACACACCTGCTGGTACTCCTCTACCAGCTGCTTTTCCAATCCCAGGGCCACCTGCAGCACCAACAAAGTAGCACAGGAGCAATACCAGTCTCTTTAGGAGGTGCAGCCTCCACAGTCATGGAAATCAGGCTCTTCCCACATAGCAAGACCAGACCCCAAACCCTTCTTCATGTTCTGGCTGTTTTGCATTCTTTGGCTTGATCTTCCTGAACTCATCACAATCACAGGGGATCAAATTCCTATGCTTGTCAAAAGCCTTAAGTGTGCCAGTGAAGATTCTTCCATCTTGCAGGATACATCTCGTTCTATAGTCAATGGGCTGCAGCACCTTGCTACTCTTACCCACAGTCATGATTGCTGTTGTCAATATTGTCAATTGACAATAGCCGTTGTCAACACTAAAATTTCAAGATCCTTAATACTTGGGGGAGGGCTATAAATAAAGGTTCGATGCAGGCTATTAACACACAATATCAGCTTGACCAAAGTTTCACAAACAGTGGATGGGTCCTGTTTTCCTTGAGCTAAGAATGCCTGTCTCAGTTCTGCCTGGAAACCCACCACAGGAACTCACTGTTGCTGAAAAGGTCGTGGGTACAAGTGACACTCTTGGTTGCTCAGTGAGGCTGTCCTTCTGTGTTTGACCTGGACCTTGACCTCTGGCACGTGCTGTTCATTAGTTCTTCTCGAGTGTAAGTGTTCCCTTCCTCGCTCTGTTGCATTGCAAATCACTCCTTGGAACGGAGCATCAGGCCAGCTCCCTCCTCTCTGCACTAGGCTTGCCGAAATGGCTCAGGTTTGTCACACTGCCCGCCTCAATTTCCTAAAGGACACCCTATTCATCCTCAGCTATAATATTAACCAATACTGGTTTAATGTCTCCCAAGGTGTTTTAATATACACGTCTTCAAATTTTTATTTTTATGTATGCCTGGTGGCAGTGGAGGTCAGTCAGAAGAGGGCGTCAGATCCCCTGAGACTGGAGCAGGATGATTGTTATTCACCACATGAGTTCTTGGAACTAAACCTGGGTCCCCTGCAAGAGCAGTAAGTGCTGTTAATTGCCAAGCCAAAGTTTTAGCCCCCATTCATGTCTTTTGATGCACACAATAGCATTTTGGTGGATTGGTGAAAGACTTGAGATAGAATAAACCTGGTCTAGAGTCAGGCCTCGTTTTTGTTATTTTTTAAAACAATTTCATTATGCGTGTATATGTGCACATGTGCACGTATGGGGGTAGTGCATATGAGTGCTTATACTCCGGGAAGCCAGAGGCATCGGATCCCCTGGAGCCAGAGTTATAGACCATTGTGAGCCACCTGACATGGGTGTTGGTCCTCGGGTTCTCCGGAAGAGGAGCAAGTGCTTTTTAACCGTGAATCATTTCTCCGGCCTTTTAAGCCTCGCTCTCTTTTCTTGAATGGAGACAAAGAAATCAAGACAATCCTGAGGACTGACCAACACAACACCCAGCTAAGTTTTTAGTGCAAATATTAATCCCCTGTTGTTAAGGACATACATACTACGGGTGGTGTTGGATTCCAGGAAGTGGTCCTCAGACCTGACACTCTGCCTGTTTGCTTTATTCTTGTTTACGCAGCTCATGTTTGCACGTTAGTCCTGTCTGTGTTCTGCTTACGGGGACTAATAATATCCATCTCTCGTGGGGTTATGTTGTGAGGTGATAGAGTGACATCTTAAGTTCACCGTGCGGGAGCATGGCTAGCTTGCAGTAGTCTTCACTGTCACCACCTGCTGCTGCTCTCGGACCACACCTGGAAGGCCTTCACTCCTTCTGGACTTAATTGTCTGCCTCCTGTGTAGACATGGTCGTTTTGCCTATGGAAGAGAATCTGTCCTTGGATTTTGACAGGGCTGATGAAATTAAGTTAGTTTAGCAGAGTTCATAAACATAAGAACAATGAAGTACCTGGCATTATTACTTTTGTGTCAGCCACTCCTTGAATTCACGTGCCTGGCACCTATGCTCTGCCTGGCTGGTCCTTGCCTATCATTGGGACTTACAGAAACAAACAAAAACAGAGATGGGAAACGCCTTGCCTGGTCCCACACCCTTAGCACCTATGAGGCTTATAGAAGACAGCAGTTGACAAGAAGAATCAACCCAGAGTTCAGTAATAAAGGGCACAGTGTGCGGTTAATAGGGATCAAGGCCCTCCATGGACATGTTCTTCCTTTTCTACTAACAGTGGCTACTGTGGAAGACAACTGCTGGGGTCACTCAGAGCATGCTGTTTTCCTCATAGCATGCTCACAGCCTCTGAAAGAAAACCTGTTTCTGAGAATCATGAGGCTGGACCGTAGGACATAACAGTATGGCATGTGGGATACCAGGGCTTAGATAGACAGCTGGAAGGTGTCCTGCTATTTGGGGGTTTTAAGGGTGAGTGGTGTTGCTATCTCCATCACATTGACCATGGGGCCTACTGTTGGTTTTAGCAACAGATACAAATAATAGAGATTGGACAATTTGTAAGTAGTGACTTTGAGTAGCTTGTATTCTGTTCCTCACACCCTTGGTCATCTGCGTTTAAACGAGCCCTCAGGTTACTGCTTCCTCTCCTGCCTCAAATCACAAGTGTCTTAGAGGATGAGACCCATTGCAAATAAACTGAACCTAGCCAACTCCAGGTAGGCAACAGCACAAGAAAAGGAAAAATGTCTCCCCTAGTGCCATAAGTGCCCTTCCATCTTCCTGCCCTGAGAACCCTGGATATGGTGAAGAGCAAAGTGAGCCAACAACAGAGATAAAGATGTACACACTCACCAGGCGGTGGTGGTGCACAACTTTAATCCCAGCACTTGGGAGGCAGAGGCAGATGGATTTCTGAATTTGAGGCCAGCCTGGTCTACAGAGTGAGTGCCAGGACAGCCAGGGCTACACAGAGAAACCCTGTCTTGAAAAACCAAAAAAAAAAAAAAAGAAAAGAAAAAGATGTTTACACTCAACAAACCTCCCAGCAAGGGTTTAAAAGCATACACTACCATGAAAAAGGAACTGGGGAACTAGATTCAGATGGGAAATTGGTAAAAGCTTCATTTTACATTCAAGAGCTGTAGGAGGACAGGGGGCTAGCAGAAGGAAGAGGAGAAACAAAATTTCAGACACCAGTGTACTAGGTTTCTCTACAGTAACGACTTACATGATGAATCTCTATATAAGAATGGGGTTATTAGAATGGTTTACAGGCCACAGTTCAGCTGATACAACAGTGGTTGGCTCTGAACCAAAGTCTGAGAATCCAGAAGTTGCTTAGCCCACAAGAGAGGGAGGAAGAGGCTGCCATGAGAGGAGCTGGACCATGAGCACATGGCCATGAGAAGTAGACCCTGAGGACAAGATGATGGAACATAAATAAGCCAGCAAGACTCAAATCGGCAAGGAACAACGGACATATGTCTGAGATATATTAGAATAGCTCACAATCTGCCCAATCTTGGCTCTGAGCAGGTAAATAAAATACCAGGATTTTGTGTCTTTTATATGAATTAGCTAAATAGATAATATATTTACAACAGATCAGAACACCATTGCTGTATTAATGAAGCATGTTAGTGGTTTTGCTAAGAATGAAGATACTTGCTGTACGTAAACTGGAGTAAACTGGAGGCACGTTATTAGATTTAATCTTCTTACAAAACATCCTAAGAAATAATTATATCAAACGTAACTTTGAGCCATTCTGTAATCTCTGCATTGATGGCGATTAGAGAAAAAATTTCAGTTACTTTAATAGAAAGTTTGAATGGCCAGACCTTTCATCACTTTGATCAGGTGACGGAATACCTAATCAAATAACATGAGAGAACAGAGTTTTTCTCCAGCTCTCAGTTTCCGGAACTTAAGACCACAGGCTGTGTGAGAAGCAGCATGGTTGCTTCTCCACCATGGTGCAGCAGAAAACACAATGATAGGAACAGGCACTAAGAAGACAACTTACCTCATGATGTACAGGAAGCAACAAAAGGGGAGATGGGTCAATGGACAAGATATAGCCCCCAAAGATGCTCTCCAAGTAACCCCCACAAGCTGGGATCCAGCCTCCACTATAAAAACTTGTAAGGGACAGACTATATAATTCAAAACATATGTAATGGCTATTCCTGGTTGTCAAGTTGACCATATCTGGAATGAA